TCTCTTTGTTTTCTTTCTTTCTTTCTTCTTTCTTCCTTCCTTCCTTCTTCCTTTCTTCCTTTCTTTCTTTCTTTCTTTTTTCTTTCTCTCTTTCTTTTTTCTTTTTTTTTTCTTTGTTTTTTTTTCTCCACGGATTTTCTTCCTTCCTCAGTTCTCTTTTTCCCTACTTGCTAACTATTTAACCCTTCTAATTCAAAGCGTACCTTCTTCGTACAGAATTTACTGAGCAAGGTATCTTCTCCTTTTCTGTACCATAAACAAATAACTTTAGTCTTGGAGCAGTACGTAATATTGACCATCTTTTCATACCACCATCTCTCTACTATAACACCAGCACCCGTACGGAGGAGGATACAGTCATCTGATACCTGAATGGAATATGGGAAATGGTTAAATGAAATGGAAGGAAAAATGTGAAGAAATGTTTGGTGATGGCGCCAGCTAAAGGCCGGTTTAGATGGTACGATTTTCGCCTACAACTATCGTATACAACACGCTCGCGTCTGTCGTAGGCGAGTTGTAGGCTTGATTTACATGCTGCGACTCGAGTTGTAGGATGGCGCGAGCGTGTTGTATACGATAGTCGTAGGCGAAAATCGTACCGTCTAAACCGGCCTTAACGAAGGCCGCGAAAACTATTGAACGAAGAAGGCCTTGAGAATACACGAGAAAATCTATACATGTAAAGTTCTCCCGTCGAAATCTTGACGGCCGTTAATCTCAATCCTAAAATCAACACTCAAATACAAGGGACGCCAAGATATCGTATTACACAAAAGGTATATTTTTGGTAATCTAAGTAACGCTACTATAATCATCTAACTGGTCGATTATCGGCTGAGGCACACTGGTGCCATTACACGTTTGGTTAAGTGATTTTGGGTTAGTGTGAAGCAGAATTGGAAAATAAATGACAGACCTCCATGAAGAAGACGTCGCCATTCATCGTACTCCCAGAATGCACCACGAAAGATTGTTTCTTAATCTGCCTACTTTCTGTTGGTTTCAGATCGACATCATTACCATTCTGCATGCAACCACAACAGAGCTAACAGTTAGTTATAGGTAATATTATAGATAATGGAACCATCTTGATTGCTTATTTAGCTGCTATTGATATTTGAAGGTTATGAAGGTCATACTGCAAAGAATGATTAAACACATGCACGGGAGATGATGATGGGGATGATGATGATGATAATGATGATGAAGATGAGGTTGGGGTGATTTTGGTGTTAGTTACAATGATAATGATGATGGATAATCATGATATGCTGGTTATGATGATGACTATTGTACTGATAACATGATAAGGATGATGATGAGGTCATGATAATGATAATGACAGTTAATGGTGATGATGCTGTTGTTATTTTTGAAATTTCTGTTCATGTTCATATTGATGATGGTGTGATCATGTTGACAAAGATGATGAAGATGATGGTTATATTCATAACGGTGGTTATGGTCATAATGATGATGATGATGATGATAATTATGATGTACATGATGGATGATGATGATGATGATGATGATGATGTAAATGATGGATGATAGATGATGATGGTTACATTCATAACGGTGGTTATGGTCATAATGATGATGATGATGATGATAATTATGATGTACACGATGGATGATGATGATGATGATGATGTAAATGATGGATGATAGATGATGATGGTGATGATGATGATGGATAATGATGATGGTGGTGATGATGGTGATGATGATGTAAATGATGGATAATGATGATGGTGACGATGGTGGTGTTGATGATGGTGGTGTTGATGATGTAAATGATGGATAATGATGATGATGGTGATGATGATGTAAATGTTGGATGATGATGATGATGGTGGTGATGATGTAAATGATGGATAATGATGATGATGGTGGTGATAATACCGATAATCCTTACCAAATTCTCTATATTATCCAGCAGATCATTGATGGGCTGTCCCTGCATCAGACCAATGTGTGCTTTCCCTATAAGCCTTCGTATTTTTTTCTTGATAGCAGTTTTGTCTACATCAAGTGCAATCATGAATGCCACCAGGTTATACAGTATGGTTGCTAGGACACGGTCCTCATCTTCTTCCAATCGTTTCTGTTCTTGTTTCTGGAGAGACTTATGTCTACACAACAAAACGTGTTAAAAGGAACTTCAAACGTCGCGCAACAAAACCTAACACACTAAATACCAATTCGATCTGTGAGTTAGCCATGCCCTGACTTAGATCAGCCAAGAGGTTGTTTCAGGGTTCAATCTGTGAGTTAGCCGTGTCCTGATTTAGATCAGCTCAGAGGTTGTTCCAGGGTTCAATCTGTGAGTTAGCCATGCCCTGACTTAGATCAGCTCAGAGGTTGTTCCAGGGTTCAATCTGTGAGTTAGCAACGCCCTGACGTTGATGATTGACCAATCAGCAGTATGGTACTATATAGGTTTTACAGACCCATTCATTACCTTTCAATCATCTCTATCGTCCCCTGGGCCATGCCAATAGCTTCTCTCTCCCCAGCAACAGCATCCAGGAAGATGTTCTCCCAGAAGTCCATGTTATCCCATAAGGCAGATCTCTCGTGCAACAAGCTCTCGAATAAATATCTGCGACCAGTGGTCGGTTTATCAGGTTCGTTGTCAATGGGGAATAAATCACCATTATAGTACCTAGGGTATAAAAGAAAGAGGTCTTGAAATAAAATAATAATAATAATAATAATAACAATAAT